GTGCTCTATTCACTCGAAAGAATTTTCTCCCTCCGGCTATCGCGCTCGGAAGCTAATCTTCCTCCCTGGCGAAAAAAAACACTTAAATGTTTTTTTATACAAATACTGTAACTATTGAATGTCAGCATATTAGCATATACATACATGATGCAAACGTTTTAGCATAAATTGTATAGCACTTTCAGCTCCGGGAGCTTTCTCGGGGACACGAAGTTGTGTGCAGGCGCAGCGCTGGCGAGTGGTGGAGACGGGAACTAGGCGGGCGGTCAGGGGGGGGGAGGGTGAGCCAAGGAGGCCGTGAATAGCGCCCCCTCGCGCCGGCGTTAATGAGCTGCAGCACAAGCGGCCTCGAAAGCGCCCCCTCTGCACTTCCACGCCCCGCCCAGCTACCGCTACAGAGGCTCCGGGCAGAGGACCTCGTCGGCGATTCGGCGCCGCTTCTTGCCTCACAATTAAAACAGACGCGCGGGACGAAATAATGGGATCTGACTTTTCACTTTTCATTGGAAACATGCATTCTGTTTCACGATTTTGTTGTATCGTACTGATGAATGAGTTTTGTTTCCTGTTTTCGATCGCCTTGGAGTATAGAGAGAACTATTCCCTCTCATTATACAAGCGCATAATCTTAATTTCACCCAAAAATTCAGTTACTTCTGCTTCCATCCAAATACCTCGCATGATAGTTTTCGTTCCTTCACGTACATTGATATGTCTTATCAATACAGCTCGGTAATAAATTATTTACTCCGTTTTTGACAAGAAATAATCCGTCTGTAGTGCAACCCTCGGTTTAGAAATTTATTTCTTGTTATAGTTATTAACATCATTAGATTGATATAGATCAAACAACGGACTCGGTTCAAGTTTGAAAACCCAGGCCATAACCGAGGTTTATAACCAACCAGTCCGTTAGATGTGATATCGGCCATGTATCTTTTAATACTTTTCGTAACACCGTCTTTTAAGAAAACTCAAAGAAAAATTAAATAACTTTTCGTGAAGTAGAAGAAAACTCTCACGTCATTGGTCTATACATCTAATTTGTTTTGATTGTTTTTATAACAACGGACTGTCAAATCCTAAACGGGTGCCTTCATTAAAGCCGGCATGAAGACATTCAAGGCACAACCAGGCGTTTCGGTTAGGTTATAAGCAATGATTTCTAAGTTTATAAAGTACAAGTGAGAGAATATAAGGACATTATGTGATGATATTGCTTGGATGACAGCTCCAGAGCCCCCTGGGCTGTCGTGTTTGTGATTTCCTGCAATCTATTTTAAGTGGCAAACCTTAACGGCCCTGAGCGCCCTAACGTGCCAAAATGTTGATGTATTAGCGATTCTTACTATATAAAACGGTAGTAAAACTGTTATATTTAGGTGGATATGCAACAGTGGCCATTAGCAAAGGTGTGGACCAACCACCGTAAGCTTGCTCAGCAGGGACCTCTCCTTCCGAATTGATTGGCGGAAATCATAAGTGTATAGCGTTAAGCCCGGTTTTACAAGATTTAGACCGTGGTAAGTCAACCCTGCTTATGAGCACATCATAATTTCGCAATGTCGGCTAAATCAATACATCCTTTTTAAATTTTGCAACATGATCATGTGGTTATTTTGGAATGTGTACATTTTTACACACTATAAAATTCACAATATAAAACATTTGAGAAGAAAAATCAACGTTGGCTGTCCAATTTCTTGAAAAAAAACATAAGTGAGATAAGAAACAAAACTTACGTCACACGCTACTCATTCTCAGATATCCATTCTCATTAACTAATCCTAGAGCCGGTCAACGAGGAACTTCTATCCTCATATGGCTCATTCCGTCTAATCTAGAAAGATTCCGCTACGATAGAAGTAGGATGTCATGTGAAGTGATTTGTATCGCTTTAAGAAGAATACAGATTCTGCTCAATATTGAAGAATCAGACGTGTAAAGATTGTGGCTAGCTAAAACAGACTTTGAATTTATCTGCGTGTCTGTCCCAGTAACTTGTGATAACAAATAATTTATTTAAAAAACCTAATAAAAATCCACACAGGAAGATTCTCAATTCCCAAATAAATATCGATTCGAATAATTCACCTGTTGTAACGCTGATGACGTTCTTCTTTAGCACACCGATATTCCCGGAACGTTCAAAATCAAATTCAAATGCTTCAAAACTACATTTTGATTGTTATTTTTTCGTATGTTTTGATGAAGTGGCTTTTTTATTTATTTAACCTAAAACATTTTTAATGTGGCATTTTGAAGGGATGATAGCTTCAATCACAGTCCAGAAGCAAAGCAAGGAGCTATGTCATCATTTCCTTAGAGGACCAGCTGAACAAAAAATCCAAATGTGGTGGTCATTGCCATGGATGGTGATAACAAGAGCTCGTCTATACATTTGAAAATATGTATATTTTTTTCAATTCATGTGAACTGCTTGTGAACTAGAACTCAATAACAGAAATATTTAAGTTACATAAAAATTAAATTGTAGCTTACAGATAGGTGCAATGTTGTTATGTGTGATGAAGTGCTTTCCTATGCTTTGATATACAGTACAAAGCATTGCAAAAGTAATTTAAATAATGTCTCTACTGAATATATAATATCCATCACTATAATTAAAATCGAGATATTTCTTGAAAAGGGAACGTTTGAGACGTTTAATTACTAACCCAGCCCAATTTACACACAGCCTTGTAACTTTTTCATAGAACACACTACAATTATTCATAAATTACTAAACACTATGCGCATACTCTTTGATACTTATTTGAATACCTGAATATTTTAATTGATGAATTGCTCACTTTAAATATCATTTAAATTTCATGCTGGCATCTCTCATTTTGCTGTAGAACAATTACAGATATAATTGAGACTATATTTTGTCTGTTTTGTAGTTTGTGGTATGTTGTGTTGCTATTTCTCAGGTTTTTTCTCATTTTGATGACAAAACATTTTGAAATTGTTTTAATTTGAGTCTTCTTTGACATTTACACCTTGTACACATTAATTTCAACAAACAATGGAAAAGACTTGAGTTCATTTGTTTCTCAATTTATTTTTAATAATCTAAAATATCATCTTTTTGCGTTCAGTGCCTGACATTATTAATATAATTTTTCGATTCTTTTGAAATGACTTTTGTACCGAAATTCTTCTGAAAGGACACCTGTGTTGATATTTCCTGATGCGAAAAATAAAACATTTTTTAGGAAATTCGTGCTAACCCAATACTTTCTAATTCTCGCTCGAAAATATAACTTTGTGTGTCTATTTGCGTTTCCTTTCTTGCGCATTTACCTAAGTAAGAACTGAAAACTACGGGAAATGACAGTATGCCTTCTTTTTAAGTTCATATGTCCCTTTAATAGTTAGTGTCAAGAATGACATAGATTGATAATTCTGTTTAAAAACGTTGATTAAACCTCAATAAATGGTGTCAAATAATGATATGGAAAAAATCAAAATAGCGGACAAAGATAATTATTTTTCAAAGATTTGTATCACTTCGAGTCGGATTAGTTCCAAAATATTTTATTATATTCCTTCATTGTATCCGAAACATTAACAAATTACATATAAACTATTTCAATGTAAAACTGTGTAAATCAATGTAAATCATCGTTTTTGAATTAGTTTTATATATTTTACAGGTAATTCAGTAATTACTTTAATATTAAATATCGTATTAATAGAATAAAATAAAAGAAGGTAATAAAATACAGATAACTAATTATTGAATTTTCTTATAATAATGCGTGCGAATTATTCCCGCTTGTCTCAGAGACAAAAGATCGCAGTAATTTAAACAGTTGAAACGTTTCATGACCAACATCACCCTGCTCTCAAGAACAACAAGGAACTTTGGTTCAACGCCATTGGGTGACAGAACCGCAAGCTGCGGTTGTCATGTGGAGGTCACTCGACAATAATTTTCAAGAGTGTCTTCCGTACATGAAAATTAGTGCTACTGCAAATATGAACGAAGAAAACTGTGAACGCGTACAAATAAGCAGATTATTTAGAAAGAATCGTTTGGTTGATAAAAGTATTGCAAGAAGATTTGGGGAAAATACTAACCAATCCGCATGTGTTACATGTTTCTTTCTCTAAACTTGCCATGAAAACCTCAAAAATAAATTAATATTATAATCTTATTACAAGAATGAAATAATTTTTCGACTAATTCAGGTAAATAAGATCAAACCATTTCACTTGATACTATATTCACTCTACGTATAAAAATACGCTAAGAAAATTTTACGATTTTTAACAGTTTACGAGAAACATTCAACACAAAAGCCCGTACATTAATTACTGATGACTATAATTACCCTAGCTTTTTCTTAAATTTATATTAGGACGAAAAATGTACTAGAAGTTTTCAGATTGTAGGATATTTGGGAACTCTGACACGCATGCAACCCGCAACACATTTCGCTGCAACATACAATCTTTCAAAAACTACGAGTTCTACGACCTTAAAACCAGGTTTTTCGATCCATGTACGGAATACATAGAAAGTATTTTATGCTGTAATCTACTAATGACACATTTTTGGACGTTCAATTATGTTTTTGGGAGGTTCCCTCACACCGTAACAGGAGGTTGCCAGAAACGCTGAAAGTTGTGAAACCTTTTCTGACTTTTATAACAATTATTTAGTAATTGAAGTATTTTGCATTTTTTGTGAAAAGTCATTGAAATCTTCTATTACATTTTGAGGGCTCTTCTGGGTACTCTAGCTATTCAGAACCGTTTCGTCTAGCAGGGGAGACACTTTATCATCAGACGCGGAATTTATAAAATTATTTCAAAATTTAAAAAACAACCCAATTAAACTTTTAAATTTTCATATTAATTTGCAGATCAACGTGTGTGCTAACATGATAAACGTGAAATGTGGGAAAATGCGGGAGCATATTCTGTGGAAGGACGTGGAGTTGAAGGACGTGGAGTTGAAGGACGTGGAGTTGAAGGGACGTGAGGAGGACGTGGAGTGGAAGGACGTGGAGTGGAAGGACGTGGAGTGGAAGGACGTGGAGTGGAAGGGACGTGGAGTGGAAGGACGTGGAGTGGGAAGGACGTGGAAGTGAAGGACGTGAGTGGAAAGGGGACTGGAGTTGGAAGGACGTGGAGTGGAAGGACTGTGGAGTGGAGGAGAGTGGAGTGGAAGGACTGTGGAGTGGAAGGGACCGTGGAGTGGAAGGACGTGGAGTAGAAGGACGTGGAGTGGAAGGACGTGTGAGGGGAAAATTTGGAAAAATACGCAGCGTAATGGAAGTGAACATGACGAGTGTCTTACGAGGAACTTGCGAGGATGCATTTGGAATGTATGCAAGAAACGTGCGGGGACGTTTAGGTAAACCTGTACGATATATGCGCGAACTTGTGGGAGTCCGAGGGAACATGCTGCGGAAAATGCAAGGAAACAAGCTGAGTAAATTCGATCGATCGTGCTGAGAAAATGCAAGGGAACAGGCTGGGCAAGTGGGTGCAAACATGCTGGGAGAATGGGAGGGAACATAATGAACTCGCAGGGATACATTTGGCAAGTGAAGCCCGAGTTACTATATTTACTATTAGTAACTCCATTTACTATATTTCTTTAAGCATAATTCTATAAAATTAGACTAATTTGAACCTTCTGTTAAATGTTTGGAGTAGCTCTTCTGAGTGCCCCGCTCCTTAGCGTGCGTGAGTGATCAAAAGCGAACAGAAAGTCAAAATCTCTGCAAGATTAAATTAATGCGTCTATAGGCGCGTCAATACAGAACTATTATGCTTAATTCAGAGATTTACCGTGCGATGTTGTGATCCAACATGTAGCTATTTTTACTTTTACGACAAACATTTGCTAACTGCAGAATGTTTGCACCGGCCCATCAAATACTTTATAAGATCAAGCATAACAAATATATCGCCTTGCCCAGAATTTGGTATTTGTGATTATCAAAAGAATATCAGCTTCGAAAAGATCGATATTGTACTCGTGTGGTTTTGGTATCAATGCTGCAGTGAGATAGCGAATAAGTATGAGACTTACTTCCTCTTCCTATTCTGGTTTTCCCTCCGGGAAGTACATATTTGTAACGTTAAAATTTCAGGTCCATAGTTCACTACAAAAACGAATCAGCGATATCTAGTTGTCATAAATGTAGATAAGAAGTTTCGATTTAAACATTCTTTTAGTTGACACTTTTTATATTTCAAACGTGTTAAAAGGATTTTCAAATGATTAGCGAGAGAATATGATGAACAGAGAGATGAATAGAACGTAATGGAAAATATCATTTTATAGATATTTATGTTCCAGAGGGCACATTCAAATTATTAGAAGTTCAAAATGTCTAAAAATTGACCAGGATTCTCTGATTTCTTTAGTTTTTGTAGTACTTCAGAAAGCATTTTTTACTAGGGTTCGTACAAGGGCTGTGCAGTTATCTTTGAGTGTTAGGGCTGCGACCTTTGAGCTTCACAACTTACATGGTTTCATTATGGACCTTCTTCGCCTAAATATATTGCTTTCTCTGCGCCTGTGTATAAGATACAAGCTATGAGAAATAAAATAAATAATTTTCCGACCATTATTACACTTCGTTTTGTCCAAATTTTAGTATCCAGATTCTCAAGGTCATAACATTCAAGTATTTTTAAAAATTTTATTCGAAACCTATGAAAAAATTGCAGAACCTACACAAAACTGTTGCAGTGTGTCTAGTTTTACGATCCCACCCTGTGGTGTTACACCACTTTAAATGAAGTTGAAATAAATAATCTTATTTCATTACATACTACTTATGACAAATCCGTAGTTTCAATCCTTAAGTAATACAAAACATATAAAAATGCGGAAGAATGGAAAGCAGTGTTCAGGAAAAAAACAGTTTTGTGAATATTTGCAATATGTTTCGTATCTTCAAATACTAAGATATCTCCCTTCCCCGCGAGCGCGCTAGCAGGGGAGCGCTGCGTAACCTTGTGAGACGGACTGTTCTGATCAAAATATCTGTTAAACATTAGTAGAAAAAATACGTATGTAATGTATGACAATATGTATATCACTGGATTCGTCTCGCTCGTCATGATAGACTGGAAAATATGTATAGTTCCACTTGAAAAAACAAAGTTACCTCAAATATCTCTTAAAACACAAGTGTTAAACAGAAATTAATACAGGTATCAATTAGCTCCATTCCCTCATGTACTTCTGTGGAAACTGCATTGCAATAACTTCAACCGTTCAAAAGTTATAAGGGATGCTAAAGTTATGTGACTCGCCCTGTGTAATATACATCAGGTTGGCACTGTGCTGAGGAAATTCTTTCCAAAATTACTGGACTTGGAGTCGGGAAACTTCGAGAACTGAATATTCATTTTTGAAAAATCCTATGAAAAGTTTAGGTGCTCGTATTGTTTACAGACGGTTAGACGGTCACACGGGCAGTCGGACTGACTGACTGACGTAAAAAAAATACTTTTTCGGTATCAGGGGACACGTAAATGGGTATTTCAGTCGAAATCGATTTTTTTCATTGCATAATCTATATATACTCCGTATAATGAACCTATAGGAGAAATTAAAAACGCTTATTGCTATACTTATTCAACTTGGTGCAGTATAAGAAGATAGATATATCGGATCATAAGAAAACGGGCACAGATTGCACTATTCTTCCATAAATCACAAACAATTTTTAATACTTGTTGACGTTCAATAAAAAAATCCAGGATCAACTCATGTGTATTATCCCTTATTAACTTGTGAAAATCCTTGAATTTAGAATAACTGCAAGTTCATAGGGAATGGCCTTTCAAGGGTATCACTGCTGGCAGTATCAGAGAAATACGCGTCAGTCTCCAGAAGATTATTGAAGGTGCAATTAGAAACATCGAGATCTGCTCTTTTCAATTACCGCGAAGAAAACCTAAGATAAGGAATAACGGAAACGAAATATGAGCTTGGTTTTCAAAATTATTCTAATGTCGTTTGATGATAATCACTTTACCAAAACGTTGGCAATTCAACCTCATTATATCCTTCAAATTGATATCAAAGACAGTGCCAAATACTGCTGAAATAATTTTATTAAATTTTTGGATACTGAATGACTAAAACTAAACCTGAACCAATATTCATGAAGTCTGAATTTCACATATTAGTGAGTTCAGAATTAAAGAAAAAAGAATGAAATCTAAGCTCTGGGAACACTGTCATCTTACCATTACTAGGGGCGGATTAATGCTTAGGCAACATGCATAGGTGCTCAGACTCCCCCCCCCCCAGACAGGTGCTCCTAATAGGTGTTTAAACAGTTTTAATTGGTTCAAATAAACGAATAAAGTTTGACATTAAATGTTTAACCTATAAATATTATAGTTTTATTTTGATTTATATATTTCAATATTATTAGTCGGCCCGTATTTCGACAAGGCTCAGTACCTTGCTAGTTTAGCGGTGGCTCGTGCGTCATCCCCGGAGCGGGCATGAATGGAGGCGCAGGGGCCGTGAATGGAGGTGGCGCCCGAGGCGGAAGCTGAGGCCTGGCTGCAGCGCCCGCCGGACGCTGCGGTCTCTGCGGTGTTCCCTGCTGCCTCGCGGCGGCGGCGCCCGCAGGCTCTGACGGCACTCGCGGCGGCGGCCACACGACGCAGTGCGCCGGCTCTGGGTCCTCGGGGACAAAACGAATCGACTGATTGTTAGTGACTCCACAAGCGACAACGGCTAGGGTCATTGGTCCCGTAATTGTAGCGCATGTTTCCCCCTTGGCAGGTGGCGGTGTTGTTCCCTCGCTGTATGATGCGATCCGGCGCCGACTACCGTCGGGTAGCGGGGTTTCCCCAACCAGGTATCTCCCACCAGCCGGGCACCGCCCCAGCCGGGACTAACTCTAAGCTCCAGACCGGTTTGTAGTATGTGGGGTAGTATAATGCGTGTTAGTGTAAGTGTGTGTAAGGGGTCACTATCTTACAGGGAAGAGGTAGGAAAGATCACGCGCGGTCCTTGGCTCGATTGTAGGGTACTGCTTCGGCAGTTGCCTGGTGTTGATCGGAGAATCCACGGAAAACTACCGATCAGAGCAGCGGGCGGTAGAATTTTCCTTCAGACAGCGGCTGAATTCGATCTGACTAACTAGTCTCGAAAGTTCTGCCACCGACGGCACTCGAACCGAGGACCTCCCAATCAGAGGGACTGCAGTCACATCTGTTGATGTCCTAAGCCATCTCTTTCATAAAAATTAATCGAGAAAGATCTCCCAATCATTCCGGTATCATGGCGTCATCAGATTTCTCGCATTCAGTCAAATTAAATCAAAGTTTCCACTTCTGGTTCCTTCCGTCAATTCCTTTAAGTTTCAATTTTGCAACCTTACTTCTCCGAATCCCAAAGTCTTCAGTGTTCCGGAGATTGCCCGCCGTGATATCTAAGTCACAGAGCTCAACGATAGATGGCGTAGTTTATTGTTAGAACAAGGGCGGTGTCTGAATGCATTCGCACATCTAACTTTTGTTTTTTAGTAAAATAACATACTTTTTTTGCGTGTGTTTCATTTCCCCCCGTCGAGGGGTGATTGCAGCGTTCACTTTCAAATGTCTCGAGCCATTACTTATCGTTGAAGTGTTCTAACGCCTGTGATTGCTTCTAGCTGCTTTTTAATAATATAATAGTGAGAGTAACGCCTTTTCTAAGAGATGCAAATGGTGTGAAGGAAGTAGACTCGACCTACCATGATTAAATCTGTTTAATTTTTCCCTTCGAACCTTTTCTACGGGAAGTCAAAGACTTTGTACATGGCAATGAGGCGACTCATTCAGCAATACATCATGCTTCCCACTTGCGGGCTCGCGTATCTAACAAACGCGACGTCTTCCATGCCGTAGTCAATGCACAGTCTTCCTTGACTAATACATTTACTACGAGGACGATTTTTTTTGTCGAAGAGTCACTAGTTGTTATTAGAGGTAGTAACATTGTTGACAACTACATATAGAGAACCTAGGTACTGTATACTTCAGCAATCGTAATGTTCTGAAAGATACAAACCCATATTCATTAGTCTTGGGTGTCCATGCTGACAACTGTATTACCACACGTGAGGAGACCAATCGGGCGCTTAGTGGTTGTGGTAGTGCTCCTCGGCGGGGAGGAAACTGCCAGCCAATGGCACGTTCTAGTGGGGAGAATCATCGCTGCCTCCCAAAATTCACAGCACGTGAGCACATGCGGGGTTAATAACCGTAGCAGTTGACGCTCCCGGCAACATCAATAAATAAGCCCACGCTTTCAATCCAAGTGTGGTCCTTCAGGTGCCTTATGCAACACATTTAAAGTTATATATACATTTTTTTATTTTGCCCACTTGAGACATTTATTTGTTATTGATTACTATTTTAAGAAAATGAATTTCGGTAATTTTTTGCTCCTTTTCGGAATATTTTAAAATTTGTGGTACATTATCACTTCAAATGGAGATATATTATACACGTTAATACAAAGGCACTCACTAAAAGACACGTAATAATGTATCTATCTGATGCTACCTTTGGGTTCCGAAGTAAAATTCGTCGTAATATTAGAAATTTCAGCTTCTGACTCCTTGACTAAGGATTAGCTCGTAGATCTGCTTGTGTGATAAGAATGTTGGTTTTATGCTTGGTAGGTTGCCAAAGTGGAGCAAATAAACGCCAATGAAGATAAAGCTCTAGGTGCTTCCGTTGAGATGAAAGGGGAAGGAATTTTAATTAGATGCATGTTTTTTTTTCTTTTTTCCCTCAACGTATAAACTTTCCATAATTTTGAAACATGTAATAGCTGTCGACAGGTAATAGCAGGTGAACATTTATGAGTTTTACTAGATGGTTTGATTATATAGTTGATCAGGATCATATCACGTAAGCGGAAGTGAGTTTCCCTACGAAAATGCAGCAATGTTCGATACATATGGTCTCCTTCTAAGAACCACGAATGCTGTGTTATAACTAACGTGTAGTCTTAACTTATCTGTTCGAAAATTAAAAGTTTTTTTCTCGATTGTTCCAAATAAAGAATTTTGAGAAAAGGAATAAAAAGAAAAAATCAGAAGAGATGTGTATGACCTGCCATTGTGTATCAAAGTAATTTATAGTGTTCACGGGAAATAAATCGAGAAGCTCTTAAGATATTTCGCAGTACCTTTCTTTGGATGGCTTGTTTACGTTCACATGTTTTATTCAGTTTTTTAAATTTTTTTTAGGATATGCCAGATAATTTCTGTGTAGACATGTTTAATGAACATGAAAACGTCTTTTGTTTCCTCAGAGAGGTATGTGACAATATTGCATCATCTCAGTCGGAACGGGATATTGCATAAACTGGACATTACGAGAGTGGATCGTTGACACATATTTGGGTTCCTTTTTCAACAGATAAATGTGTTGGGGCAGTGTGCTTGCTGTTCATTCATTCTGTACCTTGTAAAAAATCTATGAAACCTTGAATCGCAAGGCAAAAGGAGGCAGGCAAGGAACCTCACATTCAACAATATTATTTTAAGAAAGTTATTTTTAGCATTAATAATTCTTTGAGCAATTGGGACGCACTGACAGATAAATCAAAATCATCTAAATTTATCAGGCGTAATTACTACCTTACACTCAGAACTCAGTTTGTAGGAGTCCTAAAAATTGTTTGGTGTACGAAAGAATCGCAGATAAAATTTGATTTGATATTTTATTTTCATTTTAAAAAAACAGTAAAATCAGCATGTGAGGTATGGGAAAGAAGTATAATAAAAAATTAATCTTATTTCAATTTTTATATTGAAATTTAGTATTGTAGAATCGTCGCCTCACATGTCAGCCCATTAACAGGCTCATATGATTTGATCGGTCCTTGGTTTGTGATTAAGATTCAGTTCCGACGTGTGAGGAAACTGCCGATAAGCAACAAAAACCCCTTCAGAGAGGCAATATAGTATTTTCTGATCGTTTCAATACGACTGTGATTTCCAAAAGAATATAAATAAACCACTTCGTTAAAAGAAACTTTGAATCATCTTGGGCAATTGCCATCAAACCTGTGAATGCCAACTTCGTCGTTATATGCGAAGTCGTATGCCGCGTTCTTTTTAATGGTCACCTTGTTTCTGACAGCGAATAATATTGATGCGCGACTTGATGGCAAGACGTTGCCGCTGCCAGAGGCCGTCAAATGAACCAGAAAATGTAAGTTTCCTCGCCCCAAACCCTGATGAACTTGAAGAACCTGCAAAAGTGAGGTGCGTCTTGCTCTGACTCCGAGGCAATCACTGTTTTATAATTCCATCAACATTTTTGTAAATGCAACGTCTGGTGTGTCACACTCACCTTGTGCATTGTTCTGCGGCAATGAAATATAAGCATATTTATGTGAACTAGGCATTCTATCGTAAAGCATGGTTTGATAATATCGAAGAGGCAGTTATTTCCTACATTTTTATCCAGAAATGGCATCATGGTGGATAATAGGAACTTCACCTTGAGGATTTGATAGACATTTTGTATCAGTCACAATTTAAAAAACGTCTTATCCAGACGATCGGACGATCCTGGACGATCTCGTCCCTGCTACGACGGTCCAACCACGCCTGCACGCCGCTTCACCGTAAATCTTTCAATCCACATATCTTAAGTGTTGACTCGTACATACGCTATCGTAACTGATAGTCTTTAATGAAAACGAACGTTATGTTTTTTAATACAAAAATATTTATTAAGACAAGAACATATTTACATTGGACTCTTAATCACTTATAGATTGAATGTTGCTAATCTATTGTCTGCTCCTAGGCCCTAGGTATTCGCTAGCTCTTTCGGTCTAAACGAAAATGTCTAGGCAGCTTATTTATTGGAATGGAGAAAAAATATCATTCTAAAATAGAATGTGCAAATTGCAACTATTTTTGAGATCCCCAATAAAAATCAATCTCAATAAATTGTTAATGAAATCCGCCTCTATAATAATTCAAATTATTTTTATGTAAATACCTTAATTTTAATATATTTCTATGTACCACACGTTGATCTGATGTTAAAACTGACGAAAATTAAATCCTATATTATATTTTAATATCTTGAAAGCATTGCGACTATTAATGAACTTTTTTGAAATATTACTTGAAATTTATAATTTGTAACATTGCCAATATTGAATTGAATTGAATTTGCCTTATTTTACGTGGCGAGACTCGGGCCATCAGGCCCGCTCTTCCGTCTGACCACGCAAATTTCGCTACGCTCCTTTCCGCAACTAGGAGAGAAAGGAGGTATTTCTTGGGCGAGAAACAGGCGATTTTGAATTTAGCTCAGAGGCGTCATTTAGGCTTGAGGATCTTTTACACGTAAGTAAATCTACGAACATGGGACAGCCAGCTTTACTTCCCCTCCGCAGGAAGGCGTACGAAGGATTTTTTCGCCCTTATAATATAATATAATATAATATAATATTCGCCCTTATAATATAATATAATATAATATAATATTGGTTCCAATGGCGCAAGCGCGCGCCATTGGGGGCGCGGTAGGGGCAGCGCCCAAGAACATGGATCCTCGGGGTGTTTGTTCGAGTCCCGCGTAGGCCAAGGGAAGTTCGCTGGGCGCTTAGGACGTGGGTTCTTCGTATTGCATTTGAACATTCTATCTATAATCATTCATCACCGCCATCACCTCTAAAGAGCATCCCACTACCGCTCCTGCAGCGAAAATGAATGCCAAAGCAGCACTGTGATTACCAACTTAGGATTGGTGAGGGCCTAAATACACATTTTTCCCTCGACATCGCTCAGAAATAAATTCGACGCTTTCAGAGGTGGCCTTCAAAAAGTTTGAAAATTTGGAACAACTTTTTTGTGCCATGCGATCAGAACGTCGAAACCAAGAAAACAGACTAACGTCGAAATTCAAGAATTTGATAATGGAGATCAACCGAATGTAGAGCGAAAACATACAAGTCATACCGATAGTTATTGGACCTGTGGAATTTGCTTCCTAAAATTTATTTAAGAACTTCGAATTCCTAGGTCTTTAAAGAAAAGTAAGTGCAAGACATCGTATTAGCGACAGCCCAAGTTTCTCGAAGCACCTACATCTTCAACAATGTGATGTTGATCTCATATTAATAATATTAGCATTAATAATAATAATAATAATAATAATAATAATAATAATAATAATAATAATAATAATAATAATTACAACAACACCTTAAATAGTGGCGAGAGACATGCAGTAAGACATGGTCTTCCGTCTATTTGAATGAAGACGTATCAATACGACGTGTTAATTGAAATACTGGAGAAGGAAAGTTGTTCATTTATGTTCATGTGTGAAATTGCAAAGCAACGGATCCCTATTTTACTGACAAAAATACCGGAAAAAGTCGTCTTTGCGGGACCGGTGGGCTCGGGCCCATCTGCTCGACGGCGTCCGCGGCTGCCCCTCGTCCCGGCGTCGTCGCCGGCTTTCGGCGGAAGGGGCGTCGCGGCACTTGCCGAGCGGCGCGCGGGCGCCTCACGTCGCCGGGTTCTCCTCCGCCGGCCGCGTCGCGCCGCCGCTCCGCCCTCCGCCATCGTGGCCGCGGGGGCGCCCGCGACGCCGCGATCGGCAACCCGTGGGAGCCTGCCCTCGCCTTCGCCCGCCCCCCGCCCGTCACGCGCCGCGCTCCGCCCGCCGCGCTGAGCCTCCGCCTGCGCTCGCCCCGCGCCCGTCACAGGTGAGACACGCCCACGCCCGCCACTGCGCGCGCCACGCCACGCGCTCCGCCACGCGCTCCCACGCCGCGCCGTCGGCCACGCGCCCACGCCACGCGCCCACGCCACGCGCCCACGCCACGCGCCCACGCCACGCGCCCACGCCACGCGCCCACTCCACGCGCCCACGCCACGCGCCCACGCCACCCGCCCACGCCACGCGCGCCGAGACAAGGGCGCCGGGAGAAGGGTTGGGCATTGAGTCCTCGCTAATCTCGAGTCACTAGCCACAGTTTCTTCCAAGACCTGGCAGTTTGGAGACGTTCTTAAATAAATTTTGGGAAACAAATACGAGAACTTCAATAGCTATCGTGACCACTTGCGTTTTTTCGTTCCACATTTGATTGATTGCCATGTCCAAATTCTTGTAATTAATGTCTCCTATGTTACGACGTTCTGATCGTATGGTACAGCAACATCTATCCAAATTTGGCAAACTGTGTTATCGTACCGCATTTCAAGGCTACCTGTGAATGCACCACGCTCGTTTCTGAATGTTACCGAGAGAAGAGTTGTGCATTTAGGTCGTCACAATCATGACTTGATAATCATGGTATGTTTCAAGACCAGGGAGCAAAATATATTTTTTTAGAAACAAATTCCAGAGCTCCAAGATCTGTGGGAACGACTTGTGTTTCGTCGATTTACATTAGATTTAATTTGATTTCCAAACTCTAGTATTTAAGACGTTTCTCCACCTCCTTAGTAACAGGGTTCTGATGGCACGGCGCAGCGACATTTATTCAAATTCGGCAAATTGTGTTGTGCTACCGCATTTGAAAACCATCTGTCTTTACAGAACTAGAGGTTTTGAGAATTTCCTATATAAATTTTGTACAACAAATCCCAGGCCTCCAATAACTATCTCGGATGACTTGTGTTTTTTCGCTTCACATTTGGTTGATCTCTATTTCCACATTCGTGTGCAGTATTTAAGACGTTTGTCTGCCTCCTGGGTTTCGACATTCTAATCGCATGTCATACTAATATTTATTCAAACATGGCAAAATATTTTCTGGTACTGCATTTCAAGGTTACCTGAGAAAGCGTCACACGCATTTTTGAATGTGCCGATAGAAGTATGGTGATTTCATGTCATCGCCAATCATGAGTTGGTAATCACAGTGCTGTTTTGCCTTTAGCTTTCACTGCATAAGCGATGGTAGAATGGTCTTGAGAGGTAAATGATGAGGAGGAGTGAGTATGGATGTAATGTTCAGGTGTTGGTATACGAAACGTAACCGCTTCCCAAACGCACGGTCAAAGGTCCTTTGGTCTTCGCGAATCTCCAATCCACATGTATGATCTTGGACGCCACCTCCACTCCTTGCGCCATTGGGATCAGGAAGGTTGTCAAAATTGTAGTGCATGCGCAGGGTAAAGGTTGTTTCGACGCCACTCAATTGTACCGCAATTCTACCTCCATAAGTTAAGTCCGTAATACACAGTAATTGTTGCATCACTTTTCTGTTCTGAAGACTCATTTCGTTTTCGCACTCGTGATTACATTATTTTCTTCGGACGCCGGAATAAGCGCTAAAGAGCAAACAATTGAATTTGGGTAATATGATAACAAAGTAAGTTAGGTTATATTAGGATTGAGCACGGAATGATTCACCACTAGAACACAGTACATGTTTCATTTCTCACTTCACATTACAATTCACGCATTAGAACGCTATCACTGTACTATCAACTGTACAAAAGGAACAAATCGCACCATACGCAAAGCAAACCAGAGACATTTCCTGAACGTGACGCCAGAAGCCCAGTAGTCAAACTGTATGAAATCTATACCAAAAAATGAAGCACGCGTCTTTTTTCGTATAATTTTTATCCAGTCTGGCCCACCTCTTTCCTCTACCGATGAAAAATGAAAAAATGTCTGCATAAAACAGGCTTTAGCACGGCGTAGCGAGGAGGCAGGGTAGCCCGTCACAGTGGCAGGCCATCACCGCATGCTCAGGGGGAGGTTGTTTGGACGCGGTTGAACTGTAGCTGACTACCTCCGTAAGTCCGAGAATTTAAGGTTTGGAACATTGAAAATTATATTACACGTGTCAGTGTTTAGTGTTTCCGTTTATTTTCATTTTCAATCAGAAAAGATATAAATAAAAAAAATTAAAGCGATCGAGGGGCGCCCGCCGGCCTTAACCTCATTTGTCCTTCAAGGTGATCGCTGCCGGTCGCTCGTTTCGCCCGGTTTCCTTCGGAGGCTGCGGCAACGCGCAGCGGCCAGTGCGATGTAAATGCACCGTGCAATGAAAACCCTTTGAAGACGGAGCTCGCATCGCGCTGTGAATGGAAAGCGCCCCCTTCTCGCTGTCTTCTCTTCGTCCGTCAAAGAGTTGGCGAGGCTCGTTACGAGGGAGCGGCTACGTCTGCGCAACAGGCAACTCATGACGCGCGGTTGGCACGCTGCTGATGTAGCGAGGCCCGACAGCTTGGAAATTCCAGGTTTTGTGGGTCGTTGATACAGAAAAATTGGTTTACTGCAAAGCGTCTGTCCGTCCGTCTCTCGCCGGTGATAGGATTTTAGACACTACCTACATAGCTGGGAAGAATTCACCCGCTGCCTGGAGAAGAATGCTAGCGACCGGCTGCTCTGCTTGGTACTTATTCCATTGTGTCTCCGATCAATACCAGGCAAATGCTGGAGAAGTCTCTAAAAAGCAAGTCACGGACCGCGGGCGATCTTTCCTTCCTCTTCCTTGTCCTATCCTCACCCCTTACACACACACTCTTACATGCACTGCACTACCATACATACCTTAGATACGTCGGGAGCTCAGAGCTTGTCACAGCTAGCTGGTGCTTGGCTGGTGAGAGATATCTGATTGGGGAAAACCCCTCAATTCGACAGGTAGGCGCCAGGTCCCACCATCTAGTGGGGGAATATCACATCTCCCTAGGAAAGAACATGCACTACACTTACAGGACTAGTGATCTTCGCCATTGATGCGCCCGGAATTACTAATCAGTCAATCAAAACGCCTTACTTTCGTTTTTAACGTCTGTCCCACTGCCTCCTCTGTGATGATTCGAATAATAAATATGATATTTTCCTTTTCTTAGCGAATGGTTTGTTTTCTACGTCACATGTATTGGCATGACTCACTTTCCTTTTATAAGCTTCATTACTATTTTAGCTTCTTTTTGGATTGTGATTACACTGGTTTCAGTTGAAATTACTTCATAGATCTCGAGATACTGTGCAGACATTCTATGGTGCAATTAAACTTCATTTTGTGAAACTCTACTTAGTCCGTCACGTCATTGCCTCCATTGTAACAAAATATTCTTTTCTGTGGAATTGAGATTTAAAAGATATTTATCTGAGGTGTTTTACATTTAATGAGTAAATTCCGAAATGATTATCACACTTGCAACTCGTTGTCGTTAGAAACTTACGTACTACGTCCACATGTGTACGAAATGTACGACCAGTTCCCCTTTAAATGTTATTCTTAAGGATAACTTAATGACTTGTTATATTTTTTTATTAACTTTACTTTGAATTACTTTTTCATTCCTTAATATAATTCCACAGCTTATAGAGTATATGAGTAATTAATCTTATGGAAAAGACTAAGGAATATTAAGAAATTCTGTGAACTTTTTTATTCAATCATATGTATTTTTGTTCCTCAATCCGTTATTGCCACATTCGTTACATTTTTACCATTGATAATACTTGTTATTTTAAAAATACGTTACAGTACTAAGTTATAAAAAGTACAAAATTCAGTAGATACATTTATATAATTAATGAAAGGAAAACGATTTTTATATGAAATTTTAAACTTGTTTAATCTCTTTTCAATTCATGTATGTTAATATATTGTTAAAAACAAAACACAGACTTTGTGTTTAAAATCCCGTAATAATCCGAAATCAACTATAATAACTTGTTATAATCGTTGCGTTTCCCATTTTTATTCATATACTCTAATTTCTATATCCTTTAATATTTATCATGGTAGTAGTTTAATTTGAACGATGAACGTTTTGAAGTTCACATGTACCAATAAAAAATAATTCTTTATATTTTTCAAATTTAGTACAGTAATAAATCAGAAAATCTGCAGTTATTGAAGAAATTAGTGTCGAATTGTTTCCGTTTTTTCTGTTCCGCGAGAAATATTCATTCTTCGAATGTGCGAATTCGGTGTCGTAAAAACGTCAGTCTCCGTATTAATTGTCGTTGAACAAGAGAATTCTATTTCACGACCATCATACTCGCAACTCTTGATTCAGGAGGCCTTGACATTTGATATTTGAAGTCTTCATTAGACATTCAGAATAGCTACTCCCTAATAAAAATGGAGGATATTCTGGGAGGATTATTTGCAATTGTGTTCTGACCATTTATTATAACAGACACTACAATATGATTTTCTATTATATATTAATTTGACATTTCGACTCTAATTAGGGTATTTTTCAAAAAAATCCCCCATGTCCAGGTTTCTTAAAAAATGAGAATTAATTGACTTTGGAAATTCTGTGAAGTAAGCGCATTAGCGCGGAATCGATGGACATTATATTAGATCATTAAAACATAATTATTTTTGTGCCTTTAAAACTAGTCTATAGATTTATATTTTTGGTATTAATAGCATGAGCTAATATGTATGTAAAACCTGTGCAATGTGATAGCCTCTAATCACTTCGACTCACACACTCAACAACGCTACATTACAAAATTATATAATAAACTTTTTTGGAACAAAATTGTATCCAAAATTTCGCTTTAATCAGTACCTTATTAATCCTATAATACCAAATATTACCGCAATGTTTTTTTCATTCGTTCAACATTTTATTCCTGCATTGTTTTTATCAATAATATCCTAGTTTTCCGAACCACAACAAAAAGTTTATTTGTAGATGATCATTAAATGTCCAATTCTCTTAGTCACGTCCCAGGGATCAGTGGACTTTCTAATTATGGAGACATATGTCTGTGGGTTTTCCCTAACCAGGTGTCTCCCACCAGCGGGACCCTGCTCCAGCCGTGACAAGCTCCCAACATGTGTGGTAGTGTAGTGGATGAAAGCGCGTGCGTGAGTAAGGAGAGAGTATAGGACCAGGAGAAGGAAGGAAAGATCGCGCGCGGTTTGGGCCCGTTTGTTAGAGAGCTACTCCAGCGTTCGTTATTATTGGGTAAACCACAGAAGGCTACCGATCAGAGAAGCCGGCGCAAGAGTACCCCTCCAGACAGTGGCAGAATTCGGCCGAGCCAATGTCGAAAATCCTGCCACCGTCGGGACTCGAACCATACCACCTCTCGGTCAGAGGCACTGCTGTGTCAATTGATGCCCTGAGCCACCTAAAGCGATAAACTCTGTGAATTTCCCGTCGATAAGGAAGAAATACGGAGGTAATGAAAGTAATGCAACACAATCCAGATCTTTACCTCTGGCGAAAAATGATAATTTTATTTCTCATAATTTAAAGCATGAGAATATCAAAAACAGGAAATAATTCCACCAAACAAAATTCCCATTCGGCTCTTCGATTCTATATCCGGTCATCGCATTTCCTGTTTAACTGCTTGATAGCATTTATCACAAAGTTAACAGTCACTTTGCTGTGCTCATTTTAAGACCACAAACGTTTTAATACAAAAAGAAATAAATTTTCACAAAATTTACTTTAACCGTTCGTAAGTTATACCATAAATGCCAACTTTAGCACAATATATTATTAGCGGACATACGTGTTTTACAGATAAAAATTTCGTTACAACGACTTATTTCAAAAACAACTTTTTAAAGAAATTGTCTTGTCAAATTTCAAATTCATGTAATAAGTAAATGGATTAAGTTATTTTGAAAGTTTCATTGCATACCTCTGTTAAGAATTAATTATAATTTTATATTATGCTAAAACAGAACTTCATTGTTTCACTCTACATTTTATTTAGAAATATTTGAACAGACGTTTGGCTTAAGACACAAAATTACACTAACGGTTCGAAATATTTTTCTTAATACTCTGTCATTCTTCTGCCATAGGTTAGTAATGAAAGGTGCGGTGAAATTAAGCGCTGAAATTAATGTTTTTCGAAATTTGACACGTAATGGGGGGGTGTTTTGTACTTGATGACTCGCGGCTCCACATTGATTCTCCAGTATCTCGGAAAATATTCGTCAGATTAGAGTTTTGTTTGCACCTATGAACTTCTCTTAAAGTGTTCTACTTGAATACACAATTTCAGATAGGAGCGCTGAAATTAATATTTTTCGTATTTTCAGACGTAATGGGGGGGGTGATTTGTACTTGATGACTCGCGGATCCACATTGATTCTCCAGTATCTCGGAAACTATTCGTCAGTTTGGAGTTTTGTTTTCACCTATGATTTCTCCTAAAGTGATCTACTTGTGTACACAATTTAAGATAGGAGCGCTGAAAATAATATATTTCTAAATTTTGCACGTAATGGTGGGGTGTTTTGTACTTGATGATTCGCGATTCCACATTGATTCTTCAGTATCTGGGAAACAATTCTTCAGATTAAAGTTTTGTTTGCACCTATGAACTTCTCTTAAAGTGTTCTTCTTGTATACACAATTTCAGATAGAACCGCTGAAAATAATATTTTTTGAAATTTGGCACGTAATGGGGGGGTGTTTTGTACTTGATGACTCGCAGCTCCACATTGATTCTCCAGTATCTCGGAAACTATTCGTCAGATTGGAGTTTTGTTTGCACCTATGAATTTCTCTTAAAGTGTGCTTTTTGTATCCACAATATCAGATAGGAGCGCTGAAATTAATATTTTTCGTATTTTGAGACGTAATGGGGGGGGAGATTTGTACTTGATGACTCGCGGATCCACATTGATTCTCCAGTATCTCGAAAACTATTCTTCAGATGGGAGGGTTTTTTTTTTTTTTTTTTTTTTTTTTTTTTTTTTTTTTTTTTTTTTTGCACCTATAAATTTCTCTTTAAGTGTTCTACTTGTGTGCACAATTTCAGATAGAAGAGCTGAAAATATTTTTTTTTGAAATTTGGCACGTAATGGGGGGTTGTACTTGATGACTCGCAGCTTTACATTGATTCTCCAGTATCTCCGAAACTATTCGTTAGTTTGGAGTTTTTTTGGCACCTATGAATTTCTCTTATAGTTGTATACACAATTTCAGATAGAAGCGCTGAAATTAATATTTTTCGAAATTTGGAACGTAATGAAGCGGTGTTTTGTACTTGATGACTCGAGGCTGCACTTTGATTCTTCTGTATCTCGGAAACTATTCGTCGGTTTGGAGTTTTGTTTGTACCAATGAATTTCTCTTAAAGTGTTCTACTTGTATACACAATTTCAGATAGGAGCGCTGAAAATAATATTTTTCGAAATTTGGCACGTAATGGGGGGGCGCTCTTTTGTACTTGATGATTCGCGGCTCCATATTGATTCTCAAGTATCTCGGAAACTATTTGTCAGTTTGGAATTTTGTTTGCACCTATGAATTTCTCTTAAAGTGTTCTTTTTGTAAACAGAATATCAGATAGGAGCGCTGAAATTAATATTTTTCGTATTTTGGGACGTAATGGGGGGGTGGTGATTTGTACTTGTTGACTCGCGGCTCCACATTGATTCTCCAGTATCTCGGAAACTATTCGTCAAGTTGGAGTTATGTTTGCACCTATGAATTTCTCTTAAATGGTTCTACTTGTATACACAATTTCAGATAAGAGCGCTGAAATTAATATTTTTCAAAATTTTGCACATAATGGTGCAGACTTTTGTACTTGATGATTCGCGGATCCACATTGATTCTTCAGTATCTCGGAAACTATTCGTCAGATATGAGGTTTTTTTGCATCTATGAATTTCTCTGAAAGTGTTCTACTTGCATACACATTTTCAGATAGAAGCGCTGAAATTAATATTTTTCAAAATTTGGCACGTATCGGGGAGGTGTTTTGTCCTTGATGACTCGAGGCTCCAATTTGATTTTCCTGTAACTCGTAAACTTTTCGTGAGATTGGAATTTTGTTTGCCCCTATGAATTTCTTTTAATGTGGTGTACTTGTATACACATTTTCATATAGAAGTGCTGAAATAAATATTTTTCGAAATTTGGCACGTAATGGGGGGATCTTTGTACTTGGTCAGTGGAGTCTCTACTTTGTTTCTCGTCCACCTGAAATCCACCTATGAATTTCTCCTTACTATAGAATATCTCAGCTTCCGACTTGATGTCGAAATTGTTTCCGTCGGACGTTACCCCCTTTACGGGAACGTATGCCGTCTCGAAATTATTTTTATGGATCTTCTAGACCTCTTTCGAAAACCCTTACGTGGCACAGAGGAAAATTAACGAGGCTTTTCAGACTTATCTTTTCATTATTAAATCTGTCCTCGTAAAATCATGAGTACAAGGGTACGATGTTAAGTAGACAGGGCATTAAGTCCGACGTTGTTGTTTAGCTCGTGATAATGCAAAAGTATTACGTATTCGGTGGAGTCTGCCTTGCAGTCTTTACTCTCCTTGGTCTCCCGAATAATCCGTTTTATTTGCTCCGCGCATTAGGTAATCTGCCGGGACTCGTCCTCCAGAACAGCAGTTTTACCGTAGCGATTAGTATCTCTCGCTTTGCCGTATTTTAAGGTTTTGCTGAGATAGGCCAAAACACCCATCGCCCAACATTTTATGCTTCTCTGTACCATACAAATCTGTTATTGTGTTTGCTTGTCATGCCAGCACTACTAGATGCGATGTAATTAAATTACTCTATGGTATTTTTTAAGAGCAGCTATTGGTTTAATTTCCTTTGTGGTATGTAGTTTGCGGCAATTAAGGTCCTGCGTAAATCACTCCTAGTAACATAAACCTGGTATAGTGTTACTTTTTAAAACGTTTTCATCGCTAATTTAACTTGCCAAGCTCTAGTAAATTTAATATTGCTTAAATAACATTATCTGGTCGTGTACTTTGCATTATTTCTCTGTCTTTCGATATCTCGCTCTCGTATTCTACCTCTCTTTCTTTCTTCGTATTTTGATCTGACGCGATTCAATACGTCATAGTGTCTAATTTCACATTCCTATAGAATAATGTGGCTGTTGTGAATGCGTGATCTTTGTGAACTCTATAACGATCTTTGAGTAAACTGGAATTAATGAAACATTGCATAAGACTTGCCTGTACCTACCTCACGCACGAGTCGGTACAATATGCTGAAACAACATGCTAAATTTCCTTCATGAGGTGTCTCATTTGGTAGGACAATGAGATGACTCATTTCCTTCGCGTTGTGACAAATAACGTCTGTCTCAATGTGGGCGCCCGAGTGTGGACGACTTGCTCCGCTCTAATTAATGAAAGTATTCCTTCTGTGCAGATCGAAGCAGCTGATCAAGGATGCCATCATGGACAACGACTTCTTGAAGAACCTGGACTCTAGCCAAGTGCGCGAGATCGTCGACTCCATGTACCCTCGCGAGTACCCGAAGGGCAGCTACGTCATCAGGGAGGGCGAAGCGGGTGAGCAACTGTTCTCGAAACATCTACATTGGCAAAAACTCTAATGTACATATAAATATCTACTGCATCTACATTCTAATTCAAAAATTCGATAAACGTTATATAGTAATACAAAAAAAAATCATGAAGAAAAATTAATCAGCTGATTGTTATGACTAAGCTCTTAACATGCATGCAATGTTCAATACATTATTGAACAGTTTCAAAAATACGAAATTTGTACAGTGCACAAATATTATACGAGTAGTAAGTATTGTTTTCCATTAACCTTAGAATAAAAAAATATGTAGTTGAATAACTAGATATATATATATGCTTCTTGTACGTCTGTTGTGAGGAAGGTAAATTCAAGACTGAATCACCAACAGCTTGAAGAGAATGAAGCCCGTAATAACATTGCTTATAAAATGGATAATTACTAATGAAGCTCTAATAATTTACTTCTATACACTATGTTTTTGTCTGGCATGGTTGACATTTCTGCAATCACCTCCTCCCTCCGTTTTATTTAAATTATTTTTTTAAGGATTATAATGTTCAGTTACATGTGCTAAAATTTACGCGTACTGCCGAGCAATTAAAGATTTTTAGAGTCGTTTTTGGACTTTTTAAAAAGCAAATAACCGTACATATGAATCCTCTGTACAAATAAGCTCACTTGAGACTATTGTTGAGCATTCTTTTACCAGAATAATATCTTGTTACGCGGAAAACGGATTTGAAGATTTTAACGGAAATACTCCTTTTGGGGTCCTCTGAAAAAGTGTTTTCTTTTTTCAAAATGCCCCCCTCCTCAGACGGGGTTGGGACCGCGGCCTTTTGCTCTGGTCGCCCAAAAAAGCCCTGGCGGAGAATTGGAATCTCCCGCAAGGGGGGACAAATTCCTTGATACATCTTCAGCAAAGATACACTATGTGATCAAAGGTATCCGGATACATGGCTTAAAGTGACTTACCAGTTCGTGACGCCCTGCATCGATTATGCTGGAATTCAATTGGGTGTTGGCCCACCCTTAGCCTTGATGACAGCTTCCACTCTCGCAGACATACTTTCAATCAGGTGATGGAAGGTTTCTTGGGGAATAGCAGCCCATTCTTCACGGAGTGCTGCTCTGAGGAGAGGTATCGATGTAGGTGGTTGAGTCCTGGCACGAAGTCGGCGTTCCAAAATATCCCAAAGATGTTCGATAGGATTTAAGTCAGGACACTGTGCAGGCCAGTTCATTAGTGCATTATTCTGGTGTAACCACTCTGCCACAGGTCGTGCAGTATAAACAGTTGCTCGATCGATTTGGAAGATGTAATCTCCATTCTCGAAATGCTCTTCAACAGTAGGAAGCAAGGTGTTTAAAATATCAATGTACGCGTGTGCGACACAAAACAAGAAAAGGTGCAAGCCCCCTCCATGAAAAACACGACCACACCATAACACCGTTTGGGACGTGTCCGGATATTTTTGATCACATAGCGTAGATCGCATTGAGGAGACGGGTTGGGGTCTCCGTCCCCCAGCTGTAACAACTTGGGTGACCCCTTGATTGGACTCTTGACTTCGTGTTGGCAGGGCCCGATTCTAATGGGTATTGCGGAACACCTTGCTCTGAACGTATTGAATGGCGCAGACAGCTCCGGTAGCAAACCCGGAATGTTGGTTATCTCGGGGCAGCGGAAGGACTCATCCAGGTTCTGGGCAGATGCTCGTACCGCAATTTTTGCATTTCGGCATCGCTTTCCGGCGAACTCGGACATATAATCAGTGGTGCACTTGTGCACGGGGGTGAGGATAAGAGCAATACTTAAGTGTGCACCTTGCGGGGTAAAATCCCTCTGGTAGTAACAAGTTCTTACAATAGTAGGGTTTGTATGACTGACCATCTTTGAAGAACACTAGCCTAAACTATGAGGAGAATCATTTCCAAAATTAATATTACGCGGTAAGTGTGGCCCGACTCAAAGCCCTGCCATTTTAAAAATAATTATTTGAAGTTTGAGGGTACTTTACCTAGGGACACGTCCCTGGGTCGTTTTCAAAATTTTCCCAAAAATGGCTCAATTTTTTTTTTAATTTCTTGTGAGAATAGATCGGAATACATTTACAAAGCTGTAAATGTGTTCTTTAAATTACTTCTTTAATTAATATACATACATGAACATTTATTAAGGTTGGCGAAAGTTGAGAAACGCTGACGGGGATTGACGGAGAGTGATAGGATTGACGGAGGCCGACAGTATTGATGAAGGCTGACAGGGCTGACGGAGTCTGGCGGAGGTGACGCAGACTGAAGGGGGTTGTCGTGAGCTGAGCGGGCGCCGTGGCTGTTGCAGGATCGCACCTCTACGTGTCGGCGGAGGGGGAGTTCGAGGTGATCAAGGAGCAGAAGGTGCTGGGCCGCATGGGGCCCGGCAAGGCGTTCGGCGAACTCGCCATCCTCTACAACTGCACCCGCACCGCGTCCATCCAAGGTAAGGCCTCCGCTAAGACGGCGCTCGAGGACGCTGACACGTGTAGATGATGTGTTTATTACTGATTTAATCTTTAATTATTGAAACAATTCTAATGAAACAAAGACTGGAAGCAATGAAAGCCAGTAATTATTATTAGTCTCAGATACGATGCTAAATATACTACATTCAGCGAATATTTAGCCATTTCACTATGAGCCGGCAAATATTGAAAGCATTAATCAAGAAATTAGATTGTATTTGTTTTATTTTCACATACTACATTGTTTTAAACAACCCATTAAGGCACACGGGCTATTAACGAAACATCTAAAAACATATACTCAACTAAAATCTAGTGCACTGTTGAAAGAGAAACGGTTGGTAGTAAAATTGTCGAAAGCAGCTAAGTACCTTAAAACTTTTGAAAAAGATTACTAAATTGTGTAAGAACAGTATCGCATCCGAGGTATGTCTGTGTGTGTGTGTTTGCGTGCGCGGAAGGCCAATGGACAACCCCATAAACCAATGTTCTTACAAATATAGTTTTAATTAAATTTGTATAATAAAAGAAAGTTATTGAACATCTGAATTTCATATGTTATAAACCACCATAAATCAACAAATAAAAATAAAATTTCAATTCAGTATAAATGAAATATTCTTTGAGAGAAAACAGTAAATTATATGGTCTCTAAACACATAGCTCCCTCCTCATTTAAATATTTTAGCGATCTTAGTATAAACACCTATTCAGAAAACATTTTTATTTTTAAAATTGTTAAAAGCTTGACCTGAAAATACTAGACTACTGTTCAGTTGTTTATTAATTTTGGCCAAACGAAGTATTTTAAAAAGACCCTACTTGTTACAGCCACTATTGTTTCAATCCCGTATCATAGAGGAAAACTATATAAAATTCAAAACTCCTATACAAAATGCTACTCCACATGATCGCATTTCTGCTATATAATGCAAGGTTTTGTGATTTATTGTTGTTGTTAATTGACAGCATTAACTTCATACGAGTCAAAGTTGCCGTTTGTCTTAACATGGCCCAGTGAAGTAGACACGTTTCCACATTGCTCAGTCCGTAACACACAATCATAAAAATATCTCTATAGAATTGGCTTCAGCGTTACACGTCTTGATTCATTTCATTGATTCATTATTTTCACCTTCAATTTTAAATTAATGACTTCTTACATTGACATAGTCTTAAACGACGTATTGCATTAAGGCATTGCTCTTCTTTGCATTAAGGCAATTATTGTTTAGTTGAATAATATGGAAGGGAATGGAAGTAATTTTTATCCACCCAATCGTTTACTTCTTAGTCGCAGTCTGTAGTACGCTACACGATGAGCCAAGATTTAGAGTACTTGTTTTCCCCATTCAAACTTCCTTAATTATGGCTGCAAACTCGAACATAACTTGCCATAAGACTCACCGCAGAACACAAGTTGGTCAATGAACGCACCCTCCGGCAGAACTCAAGTTGCCAGTATCACTATTCATCATGTCGCTTTGACCTTTCGTATACGAATCAACCGAAGCGTATGGCAGCCTTGAGGTGGTGTCGGTAAGGACGAAAGACTATATGAAACTAGAAGTTACTTTCGGATTTAGCCAACGAAGTCTCTGTCGCTTGCAACTTTGAGTTTAAATGGGAGTTTGAATGAAACGTTGCAGAGACAGGTGCTGTTCCTCTGATTTGCATATGTACTTTCATTGCTAAGTTTTAAGTTGTTTCATTCCTTGACAAATCTTCTCTTGTAAAGTCTGTGGGAGCCAAACACGACCACCTCAGCACGTGCTTTGAGGATCGTTCCGAAACACACTATTAACGAAGGAAGTGAGATGATTAACATGAAAGCAATTTGCTTGGGTAGACATACTTACATGTTACATTCATCATAAATTGAGCAACATGATTTTAGCTTTATTAATGCTTTAATAACATTCAATTTATATTATTTCAATTGATGCAAGTTATAAATGTCTCTAATTCTACCAAAAAAAATATATTTTTAGACTTGAACCTAAGCTTTATATTAAGAATCTCGTGTCGAAATCTTGCAACAACATTGAGAAAGATGTATTACGTAACAGTACAATTTTATCTAATTTTTATCTAAATACTTGGGTAGAATTTCTCATTGTCAGAGAACACCATAAAATTTAGGTAATAAAATATTTAGGTAAATTCATGGAATGAACTGTTCTTCTATCACAACTAATGATTGTTCCCACCAGAAATAAAAATTCCAGAATTGAGCAAACATGTGACTCGTGCTGTCTACATGTATGGCTCGTTACCTCTTTTATTAGGTCATGAATCAGCAAGACTGACTTAAATAGCTGACCAGCTGACTGGCTGAGTGACTGAATGAATGAATGAGTGACTGACTGAGTGACTGAGTGACCGACTGAGTGATTTGAGTGACTGAGTGACTGTGACTGACTGAGTGACTGTCTGAATGACTGAGTGACTGAATGAATGAATGAAGTGAATGACTGCGAGAGTGAGTGACTAAACGAAAGAAGACATTTTTCTCAACGTCCTGAAGCCGCCCCGCTGCCGAGCCGTTGCCCGTCGCCCCCGTCGCCGCCCCGCGTGGAGAAAGCGACCGGCCGGCGCGGCGGCGACCGGGGCGGCGGCGGCGGCGGCGGCGGCGGGGCGGCGGCGTAGCAGCGCGCGGCCCCAACGCCGTGTCGCGCTGTTGCAGTGTGACGGACGCCAGGTGTGGGTGCTGGACCGGCGCGTCTTCCAGCAGATCATGATGCGCAGGCCTGCAGCGCCTGGAGGACAACGTCAACTTCTGCGCAGCGTGCCCCTGCTGCGCAACCTCTCCAGCGACCTGCTCGCCAAGATCCGCCGACGTGGCTTCGAAGTGGGTGAGTGCCACGCCCCCCCCCACCCGCCAGCGCTGCCGCTGCCTTGCGTCGACTGCCGGAGGAGGGACGACTTCTAGCGGCAGCGGTCTGATCGGGAGTTTTTCCGTGTTTTTTTCGAACAACCTAGGCGAATGCCGGAGCAGTATCCTACAAACGGGGCCCGGACTGGCGCGGACCGTTTCTTCCTATGCGCTCCCCTTCCTCTCTGTTTCTGGTCTGTTCTTGGCTCTCCTCTCTCCTCCCCTCTCCCCTCTCCTCCCTCTCTCCCCCTCTCCCCTCTCCCTCCTCTCTCCCTCTCTCCCTCTCCCTCTCCCCTCTCTCTCTCCTCTTCCCTGTCTCTCCCCCTCTCTCCCCCTCTCTCCCTTCTCTCCTCTCTCTCCCTCTCCCCCCTCTTCACCTTCCCCTTTTACCCCTATTTCTCTCTCTCTCACACACACACACACACACACACACTTAAAGCCCTACTGCACACACCGGGAGCTTACAGCTTGGCCCGGCTAGGGTGATGTCTGCTAAGGAAGATCATCGCATGTCAACGAGTAGATCGGTGGATCTCACCATCCAGCAGGGGAGGAACATCACCCCCTCCAGACATGAAAAAACATTCACTACACTAATGGAAATGGCCATGGCAGGTGATGTACCCGGCAAAATCAATCAACCCACGCGACCTCCAGCAGCCTCATACGTAAACGAGCTTACAAATCATGTTTTCGCTGTGAATACTTACATAACTTCCCGCCAATTTTCATTCGCCATGACCAACCTTTGTCAAAAAATGCATTGAAATTGGCGGTGTTGTAGCTAACTGTCAAACATCGTTACTTCAATTCTATATATCAAAATTATGTTCAATTATTGCCGCAATATGACAGCTGACTATCAAACTAGATAACTATAACACCAATGTTTGTCTGTGATCTACCTACGTCTCAAAGCTCATTAAAATCATTTGAGACATGTAGGACTTAGCCGTCAAGCATCTATCATAATCATATACGGTGTATTGAATCTATGCTAAATAGATCAGGCCGTAGTGGGACACGAGTATGCAAAGCCTTTCGGGCGCTGTTTTTCTTTCAGTTATTAATTATGACACTTTAGTATTTGTAGAAGTGCAGATTGCCACCAAAAGTTGTATTCGGGCTTTGATCTTGTGATTTAAAGATGGTGGATACTATCACAATGTAGACACCATTATCTCCGTAACTACTCGTCAGATCGTTTTGAATTTTAAATGAAAGGTAATAAAGTATTCTTTAAGAAAAGTCGGAACAAAATTTTCGTATCTCGTAACGTTCATGAGTTGAAGTGCATTTCAGAATCGTGTGACACCGGCTTAGCCAAGCACAGAGCCAGCAATGCCGCTGTCTCTGCAGCGACTCTTACCAGGAGATTCTAGGGTTCGTGTGTCTGCGGCGGCGGATTTTCGACACAAGCTAAAGAGCTAGGCAAACTTCAGCCGCTGGAGTAGTATTCTCACAGCCAGCTGCTCTGATCGGTAGGTTTCCGTGGTTTCTTCAATCAATCAAGGGCGAATGCTTTGTTCTCTCCTCTCCCGTTACGTACTTACAAACAAACACACACACACACACACACATGCTTACGGGCACTACACTACCACACATGACGAGGCCACTCGGGAGCTTAGAGGTTGCCCCGCGTGGAGCGCTGTCTCGCTGCCGGGAGACACGTTCATAGGTTTCATGAAGAGTATTTGGGTGAATGATCAGATCGTTTTCGTGATCATCTGACCAGAAAGTGTTGAAGAAAATATGTTAAATTTTTGCCAATGGATTTATCTATAAAATGTATTTTTAATCTGTTTTCTGTTAGTCCGGTAAATAGTGGATATCCATAAATAAAACTTAATACTTTTTATATGAATCCATTACTTTGTCATCTGATGAATAATTTTTAATTGAAATAATTGTTTTAACTTCTTTAAGAAACCTCAATAACAATAGAGTTATTGATATTTGTATCAATACATAATTTGCTTCACAAATTTCGGAACTTTTACTCTATCCCGGTCTATTAATCATACAATTTATTTCATGGGAAGTTTTTACCTCAAGAGCCAATACTGTTTAAGGATATATGTTATTTTCAATTATATAAGTTCATCAACTGCGTTACCATCTCGTTATCACACACATCAACTTCTAGATAAAAAAAATTTCCAAGCACTTCTAGTTACCCTAATTAAAACTATTTAACATTTTTCTAATATAATTCATATTTTTTCTTGTAAAATTTATAAATAAAAAATTTTAAGTCCACAAAGTAATAAAAAGCTATTTAATACGTCACGTAAATGTAATATTTATAATATTCTTAAACCGGCAGAACGATAAAATTGTATTACCATAATCACGAGCTAAGGTTTCACAAATGTTTCTAACCTCGTTTTGTTGGTTGTCTTAGTCATCAACAATGTATTGGATCAGAATGGGTAGGGATTTGGGATCTAAAGAAAATGTACGCAGTTCATATTTCTCCCCCATATGTTTTATACGAAAACAAGTTAATTAAATCAAAAGACGGAAAATTATTAAACAAAGTTTCGTTTCTCGCAAATGTTTCGATTTTTTTAAAAGAAATACTTCGTAATTCTTTGTCAAGAGTAATGGCGAAGCTTTAGTCGCTTTTCAGGTAGACATCAAAGGTAACAATATAGAATAATCCAATGAAAATTCCTACAGCAATTTTAAATACGATTCAGAATTAACGGATATTGAAATGTGTATATTTACAAATGAAGTCCCAAATATGACGAATTCGCGAATTAGGTAGGTAATTCGCACATTGGCAAGACAAGTTGAATAAATGTCGGTGAAGAAATTATCAGACTAATCGTAATTTTGGCCAACTTTGGAATACAAATGTTGCAAAGACTCGAGGTTGTTTTATGTAAATCGGGAAGGCCCAAGTCCAAATACTCATCGCCTCAACAATAAAGTGAAAAACAGTCAAACGAGTTGCTAGACAGTAGGGTTAGGTTATCGTGACGCGTGCCGGACTTGGCCTTATCTACCCCCCCCCCTGGTAGAGACAATCCATACCTCATATTATTATTAGAGACGATACATTATAAATAAGGACGGTCGAATAATTGAATCTCGCGAAATTATGCAATTCTGATGGTGAAAAAATAGGTACTACAAAACTTGATTTATTAAATGGCTAAAATATTTATTTGGGGAATAAAATAGTGACAAAATGACAACAATCAATGTTATTAAACGAATGCGATTAACCAATCACAACATATATTGTAAAGGCAATAGATAAATAGAGATGAAATATCGTGTAATGGCGAATAAGGAAGGGAAACATTTATCGAATGTTGTAGGACGTTGAAACCAAAAGTGGAAAATACTGAACTCATCAGCAGACGAGCTGATAAACAATGTGTAGTGTTCCCGGAATGAGCAGGAAGGCAGAACGCGTTTGATCGTGGTGGCGTTCACTTCGTGAGGCGGAAAGAGTTTGGACACGACGGAGTTGGCGAGGTGAAGCGGAGCTAATAGTTTTCGAGTGACAAGATTTTGTTTTAAAAAGTTTTATTTCGCAGTAACATGGATAATAATTGAGAAACACCAAGTGTGTTTTGCAGCCAAGCTTGTGTTCATCGCCTAAAAGGTAACGTGTCGGCAAAAGGAAAGCAACTTAAAATACAATGTAAGAAGATAAAATAATGGGTTATAAACATGTTTTATGTTCAAATGATGGTCGGTTTAAAATCCTTATGTATATGTCTCACATGAAGAGTATATGTGATTATTAGTTAAGTTTGATGAATTAAGAATGGTTAAATGTCAGATGGGTTTATATTGTAATTTTACCTTGCGCATATGCTTATTGCTTATTGCTGTATTATTATAAATATTTGCTGCATACTACATATAGAATTTGGACGAGCAAGTAACAAAATAAAATATAAATCAGTCAATGTATTGGCTAATGTGCACTTTATCCGATGCAATGTCCAAAATATGTTTGGAAGCTTCTCCTACTACGGACTTTATGGGGGATAATGTGATCATTAATCGGCCAATGCGTGAATTAATCATATTCTGCGGATAACCATATTCAGCCGTAACAATTAATTAATCACAGTTGGTATTGTAATGCTCGATGCGTGAACTGAAGGGAAAAAATCCAAAATTTGTTTTGAACAACAGGCATCGTAAGTACTAAATTTGGAGGAATCAGTTTGTTTGAATAGACCACACAAAATGATATCATTGACATTTGTAAGTTGAGTTAATCGCAAGGCGTGCAATACTTAACATGAGAAAATAACTCAACAAATATAATGTACTAAATCGTCGTAATAACTTCACGTGATGGCGTGAAGTCTGCAGTTTTACCAACAAACATAAATGATGCAACAAAAAAATTCTGAAGCGACTTAACGGCTTCTCGAAGTGTATATTCAAAATCTAACAGGATGGATCAAGTCAGAATCGTTATTGATGTAATTTTCAAATTTAATGGAACAATTAGTTTGATCACAGAAGAAAGAGTAAACAAAATGGATATTTCTCTGTACGAGGGCAAGTTTTCTTGACACACGGCTCCCTAACTCATGCCCAGCGCTGAACAGCACGGCCAGTTGACATTCTTAGGTCCGACTCGGAACGGCACGTATCATTTTACAATGATACCATCTCACACCTTCAAAACAATCGTAGTATTTTTCGTGCCGATGTGTTAATTAGTGGGTTGCTTGTATTTTTCCCATATTTTACGACGTTTTTGGCTTTTGTTTTGGTTTAAGGATTACGGTTTACTGTTATTTGATTGACTTATTTATTGTTTCTTCCTTTTATTAGAGTTTGGCTTACTTATCTGGTAGAAATCTTTATTTAGACTTTTAAACACAGTTATCTTCACAACTTTACGCGAAGGTTAATGGCAGCGTTCCCAGGGCCCTTTCGGGAAACTCCGAGAACGCCACCATCTCGCCGTATCCACACTCTTCATAGTGGGGACAGGAAAACCACTGCTAACGTGGTGGGATGTTGTCAAAGAGAGGAAGAAAAGACAAGACGCTTCTTGTCCCTCTTAACCAAGCCTTAAAGAGGACGACTGTTTACACGGATGCATGCAGTGGATCCGTGAATAGAATAAAAGAATTTAAGGTTTCGCACCCAGATCAGTCACCAAAAACTCCAGACGAAAACAGATAATATTGTCGATTTTATTAAATGAAATACATGACACTTCTTATTTGGAAATATTTAGTATGTTTTATTTTTTCGCGAAGTGCATGAAACTTTTTTTAATTTTTTGTCAGAACAAGAAAACCTGTTCGACGATTTTGATAGAAGTGTAATTAGTGACACTTTTTTTCTTAAAACTCCAATAGTGAAACATGTTTCACGGAGGTAGATAATTCTCTATTGCTAGGAGCAATTATTTTGATTACTCTGTTTCAACATGGCGACCGGCGCAACCTCGCCTCCTCTCACAGACGTAACGAATCGCCGTGCAAGTTTCCTTTCTGTGTACTATATATTGTGTAGTTTGAGGCAGCAGTTTGAGACGACGCAAAGTGCGGAAAGGGACGATGTTTTCGACGCAGAGGTCGTTAGGCGCTTGGCCAGGGGCGGGGCGGGGCGGAGGGGCGGGGCGGGGCGGAAGCGGAGGAGCTGACAGCGTCCTTGGCGACGAAAGGCCTCGGCTCGACTCTCTAAAGCTATTAGGAAACTGAGGAATCCGTTGGCAATGGGCAAACCTGGATTTGTAAATGAGCTCAGGTGGCTAGGATCAAGGAGCATCAACAATTTCCGGAGGACATAAAACGCATTAAAAGAATTCCATTCTAATCGACTTTGTGTAATGTAACAAAATCATTAATTCATTTTAAAGTGTCGACTATTAGTGGTTTTGATCAATAAGTATAAGACAAGGTTGTTTTACACGCGAAATTTACTGCGAAATGTCGGGTGAGATTCTGTAGAAAGTATTTTCTTTTCCGCTCCCTTTTTTACTTCATCGCCCTTTCTCCGCAATAAGAGAGAGTATTGTAATCGTAAGCCAGAAATCTGCCATGGTACCGAAAAAATCGATTAATCTTATTCTTACTTATAGACGATTGCTTTCTCTAACACTGAGTAGTCATAATCCATGTTTTGTGGGTTCTTAATAC